GTGAGTAGTGAGGAAGTGAGAAATGTTGATGGTGAGTGAGGGAGTGACACAGCTGTTGAGTAATGAGGTAATGAGTGAGATGCTGATGATGAGTTCCAGCGGGTGTGTCACTCTCCTGAAACTGAGTGCTTGAGTAACTGATATGAATGTGAATGCGTATAAAGAACTCTTTTTGAGTATTAGAAAGTGGAGAGGGGTGAGTCTGCTACTGAGTCTGGGCGAATGACTTGAGTAGATAAGTGTCTTGATGAGTGTAAGTGAATTTAGTTAGTATATATTACTAAGTATAAATGATATAATTATTCTCTTATTTACCGTTATGTCTCTACGTGACCCCTTCAACACCTGTAACTCATAAACTCCAGAAGAACTTAATTGACTCCTTCTAAGATCCTATTTACCTATTCATTATTTTCTAAGATCATGTTGACAGAAATACAGGTACAGTACGGGTATGTTGCTGACCTCCTTAGCTGTAGGTCAGCGGTCTTGTGGTTAGGTTAGGTCACAGGATACTGACGATTGATTAATATAGTTGAGTCCTCCTTCGTTGTTAATTTCCCGTTTTCTACAAGGGGTAACTATGATAAGATGAAGGCGTAGAGGAGTAAGTATAAAGATAAGAAGAATTGGTGGTGTATTGGGATTTTGTTAATCTTACATTGCATTTAGTTGGGAAATTTTGTGACCAAGTGTAAATAAAGCACCCCAGTTTATTTCATTTGATGGTTAAAACACCTTAAAGCTAAACCTAAACCAAATTTAACCGAAATTAACCCAAATTAACCTAACCTAATTTAATCCCTCATAGGTAGCGTTAGGAAGTTTAATCATCAGGTGAAATAAGCTGAGGGAGGGGAAAGCTAATCTTCAGGTGATCCCAAAATTAACGCCATACAATGTAACCTCCATATAACGGACTTCTCTCCATATATTCCATTAGATTGGGGTCCGTTAAATAGAGGTTTTCACTGTTACAATATCCTCTGCCAAGTCATGATGGGGTAGTAGTGAAGATCTTGAGGTGTTACCCAGAACAAGTTACTTATAGATGGTGTCGTGGCGCAGTGGGTAGTCATTAATGCAGAACTTGTGTGCCAGGGTTGGAACCATACCCAGAAGAGCTCTAACACTTGCTGCCGAGTTTATAATGTATGTAAACACAGCACTGAAGGATTTAGGGTGTCGTGGTGGGGCTGTGTTGGGGGCGAGGGGTGTGTGGTTGGAGGTGTGTTGGGTGCGGTGTGGGTGTGGAGGTGTGTTGGGGGCGGTGAGTGATTTGGTTGTGAAGGTGTGTTGGGTTGTAGAAGTTTACGTGGGTGTGTCTTGGAGGCGCAGGTGTGTCAGGAAGGCGTAGGTGTGTCACGGAGGACCAGGTGTGTCACAGTGGACCAGGTGTGTTAATCTTGATTAATGATATGAAAGGGCAAAGGTAACAACACAAACTTGTATAGAAAAAAACCAGGAAAACTAAATGACCACCTCAGAGTGTTTAGGCCTCGGTCACCACCAGGCCTCGGTCACCACCAGGCCTCGGTCACCACCAGGCCTCGGTCACCACCAGGCCTCGGTCATCACCAGGCCTCGGTCACCACCAGGCCTCGGTCACCACCAGGCCTCACTCACTACCAGTCCATCATGGCGACACCGTGATGGAATGGCTGAAACTTTGGCCTTTGTGGGTACTGCCTCCTCTCCTGACGCGGCGGAGCTAAGATTCTCAAATACTAAAGAAAGGCGTGGAGGTACTTTTGATGATGATAATAACAATAATAAAAATATTAATAATAATAATAATAATAATAATAATAATAATAATAATAATAATAATAATAAAATAATAATGATAATAATAAAAATAATAATAATGATAATAATAGATAATATAGCAAAATAATAATAATAATAATAATAAAAATAATAATAATAATAATAATAATAATAATAATAATAATAATAGTCACCCAGGAATATTGCTAAATAATTAATTAAATTCACCATGTTATTTAATGATAATAAGATACCTTTAGGGCTAACTTATGCAACAACCGCAACTGCAACAACAATAATAATGCTACTTCTAATAATAATAATAATAATAATAATAATAGACGGGTAAGTGAAACGTGTCAAGCGACATCCGTAGACTTGTTTATTCGCTGACCACAATACTCGACTTGTTATTGTGAGTCGGGGGAATGTCAAGCCGTGTCTCTCTCTCTTACAAGGTTAAACGACTTTAACTATAGGTGATGGAATGACAGTTCTGGCGTTTCAGGACCTAATACTTAACGAGAATCCTTCAATTCTTATTAGGATGATATTGATGATGATGATGATGATGATGATGATGATGATGACGACGACACTGATGATGATAATGGCGTGTCAGACCTGAGTGTTGTTGAGCCTTTACAAGAACCCTTCGGATCCTTTAACAAAGAGACGATGATTCTGTTGTGGAGAAAAATATGATTCTCCTTAACTCCTTCACGGTAGG